AAAATGGCACTGACGGCACAGTATGTCATGGAGGAAGATGCTGAGGCTGCGGGCCAGCATGGGCTGGACCAGGGAGAGGGGCTACCTTGCCAGGGCACCCAGGAGCTAGGGGCTCTTTCCAAATGCTACCAAGGCCCTGGCTTTACCACCCATGAAATGGAGGGGCACACACAGATACAGAGGAAACCAGAATCCACGTGGGAAAATAGAGCAAGTATTTCTATAGCATTAAAACAACACAAAAGGGTCGATGTAATTATTATATGCGAACAACAGGTGTGACCATCTAGTTAGTCAAAAGACTCAAGAACGATTAGAATTATAAGAGAATCTGCTACAGTGACTATGTTCTACATTAAGCAGCCTTTTCATATATTATCAACAACCAGACTAAAACCAATGGTGGGGGAGCTTCCAGTCTCAACTCCAGCAAGTAGTGCATTCAACACACCCCATCTAACAAGAAAAACAAAAAAGGGACAAACACCAAACAACCTCCTGTGGGCTCACAGGGAGGGAACAGAAATGGCCCCGAAACACGGAGCACCAGAGGAGGTGCCACAGACGGCCCCTGAACATGGAGAACCAGGGGAGGGGCCACAAATGGCCCCTAGACATGGAGAACCAGAGGAGGGGGCCACAGACGGCCCTTAAACATGTAGAACCAGGGGAGGGGACACCGACAGCCCCTAGATATGTAGAACCAGAGGAGGGGCCACAAACGGCCCCTAGACATGGAGAACCAGAGGAGGGGGCCACAGACGGCCCCTAAACATGTAGAACCAGGGGAGGGGACACCGACAGCCCCTAGATATGTAGAACCAGAGGAGGGGCCACAGACGGCCCCTAAACATGGAGAACCAGGAGAGGCCACAGACGGCCCCCTAACACAACCACAGCCAGGTCTGCTAACCTGGGCAGCAGCCCTAGGGCCCTAGTGCAGGGGCCCCATGGTGGCAGTGGTGGGGGAGACTGAGTGCATGCATTCAGGGGGGCTCTCTGGGGCCACAACCTGGCACCTGCCTCTGCAGGGCTCTGTCTCCAGCAAGCCTCACCTCAGGTCTCTGGCTGGGTGCTGCAGTCTTCAGACTGAGTTTGTGAAGCTGCGTCCAGCACGTTCTGTGCTATGCGAGAGAGCACGCAGCCATGTAGGAGACGCCCAGGAGGATCCCAAGAAAGTGCTCAGATAAAGATGCTGCCGCAGAAAGGACTGCCCTCAGTGGTTCCTCAGGGCCGAGGGGGGGTCACCAGAAACCTCGCCAACTGAAGGGCAGAGGAACATGGGGCACTACACAATCAGTCCAAGTCAGAGCACCAGCAAGCCCTGAGATAGTACCCAGAGCGCCTCACAAGAGCAGTGGGAATACCAGAAGAGCAGGAAGGAGCACAAGAAGCACAGGGAGGAGAATGGCTGAGGATCTCCCCAAACTAGCAACAGACAGCAGACCGCAGAGGCAGGGGAGGCAGAGAACACTGAGCACACTGGCCACCAGAACACCCCACATAGCACAGCACACTCCGACTACAAAAGCCCAGGGACAAGGAAGGTCTTCAAAGGAGCCAGGGGGAAGGCCTCGCCCACGGAGCAAAAGCTTAGGGACAGAGCAACTTCCCAGGGCTGGAGGGGGCTCAGTGCAGGAGGAGCAGTGTGGGGGAGGGAGGGCAGGTGGGTGCTCTCCTCTCCTGCTGACACCAAGCTCGACTCACAGGGAGGCAGGGACGGGGTTCTGTCACAGGCCCGCGCTCCACTCTCCAACACCACAGTGCTATGAAAAGTGGCCTCATTGTGAACGTGAAGCACAAACTCCAGACGGCCGCCAGAAGCCAGACTGGTGTGCTAACGAAGTGGGGACACAGGAAGCGGGAGGAGGAGCAGGGGGCGAGCTGGGGGAGGCCCACGCTGACCCAGCAGCTCCTGCGACTGCCCCAAGGGGGACTGGCCCAAGCACACCAGCTGAGAGAGACACCATCAAAAATACAAGAGCACAGGGGCTGGGGGCGTGCGTGGCTCAGCGGTAGAGCACTTGCCTATCTTGCGGGGGCCCTGGGTTTAATCCTCAGCATAAATCAATAAAATAAAGGTATGTGTCCAACTACAACTGAAAAATGAATATTTTAAATAAAAGCAGAGCACAAAAGGAAAAAAATTAAAACCTAAAAAAAAAAGGATAGGCATCAGAGCAGATTTAAAAATAAAATCCAATGATGTGCTATCCATAAGAAGCCTACCATAAATAGAGACACATGAAAAAGAGAAAGGTATACATGCTAATGCAACCAGAGAAAGCAATTAATGCAGAAAAGACCACGGGTCCGCAAAGTCCTAGGGACCATGTACCCCCTGCTCCCAGGCACTCACAGAAAGAGCAGGCCTGTTGGGATGGGTTCACCCTCACTCTTCTCAAGTTCACGGGGGCATTCACCAAGAGAGCCACATTCCAGGCCTAAGACACACCTAAACCTATGTAAAAGCAGAAATCATACACTGTGTGCTCTTGACATGATGGAATGGAACTGAACATCTGGACCATGGAAGGAAACATGGGGGAGGATGCAGCATGTCCTGGCCCTCCCCACCTCCAGTGCTGGCCAGTATGGCAGCTCTCTGGACCGTTAGGTCTGTACAGGGCCTCACTGTGTGGGCACTACTGATTCATCACTGGCCAACAGTGGTTAGCTTAGTCTGTAGCCCACACCCAGGGCAGGGGTCAACGGGGCTTTCGGCTCCAACCCTCTTGTGACCATTACCACCCCCAGGAGTAGCCTTAGAAGCACAACTGAGGTGTGGTTGAAAGGGCTTCTGAAAAATAACAAAAGACACTCCTTTCAGCCACACTCAGGAGATGCAGAATCTTAAGAGCACTGTGCCAGGAGTCAGGCAAGACCAAACTCTCAGTTCTCAAGTCATGGCACCACAGCGCTTGGCGTGAGGATGGGGGAGCTTTCCTGCCAAGACTGGGCGCTGGGCAAGTCTGCTCCCTCTCACCATGGCTCACCACCACCCCGAAGGCCTTGCTGGTGCCACAGGAGCAAAAACAGAAATAAAGACATATGGTTTAGGAAGGAAAAAACAGAACTGTCTGTGGACAATATGAATGCAGAAAAAGCTCAAGAATCCACAAAAAATTCCTGGAACTAACAGGAACTTTAGCAAGGCTGCAGAATATGCAGTTTACATACAAAAAATTGTTTGCTTTCCTGTATACTAGTAATAAGCAATTGGATCTTGAAACTAAAACACAACAGAATTAATATTTGCACCCAAAGTGGAAATATTTAGGTATAAATCTCACGAAATATATATATATTTTGTTAAAAACTACAAAACTAATAAAAATGATGTTATATAAGAGCCTAATAAGTGGAAGTATCTCACGTTCATGAACTGAAAGACTCCACATGTTAAGATGTCAGTTGACTTGATTTACGGACTCAACAGACAAAACCAAAGTCCTAGGAAACCGCTTTCTAGATGGTACAGACTACACTACAGGTAGAGGGAAAGGCAGAACACCTGGGGCAGCCCACAGTGCAGTGAAGAACAAGGTGGGCAGCTGCCCCACGCAAGGCTCCCAGGAGGCTACAGGAATCAGCCCAGCATGGAACTGGCCGAGGAACACAGATCATCGCCTCTAGGTTCAGTCCCCAGTAACCCCCCAAAAATAAGTAAATAAATTCACAAACCAGAAGAATAGAAAAATAAATTTTAAAAAAATTAAACAATAAAAGGCAGACCCAAATTCCAACATAATAGTAATCACAACTGCAAGGGATTACTCAATAAAAATGATGATTCTCAGACTGGATTTTTAAAAAGCTATCAAATAAAATGATAGGAAAAGACTTCAAACATAACAGAGGGTTTTTCTGTGTTGCTAAGTTAGGAAAATATAGGCATCTAACAACAAGGTCTTAAAACCTAAAGCAGAACTTGGCAGAGGCACAGGAAGAAAGGTCACCTCCAGAACCCCAGGAAAAGGCTGACCCCTCTGCAGAAACCCACAGCCTGAGTGCCTGACAGGAAGCCTGCAGAGAACAATGTAACCAGCTGGTAGAGAAGTGCATTCCAAGATCAGACCCTGTCTTAGCACAAAACCTCCAAAGATCTCAAAAATCAGATTGCTTTAAGAGACCACATCATTAAAACTTAAGCAATAAAATTAATAATTCCAAAAGATTAGCTGCAGCATGTACTGGAAACAAGTTCAGGAGCCCCGGAAACTCTCACCCCACCAGCATGGGGCAGGAAAGCGCTTTCCACATGCACGCCACAGGGAAAGGACACTATCCTTAACACATAAAACATTATACCTTGAAATCCACTTTGAAAGTACATAAAACTAAAACAAGGTGAAAGCAAACAGCCAATAAATACATGACAACACAGGGAGAAACCTGTGTGCAATGGCCAAGAAGGTAACAGGGAAGAGTACAGACCAAGCTTTTAATGCTAACAGAGACCAGAATTGGAAGGTAGGTGAACTAGGGAATTCTCAGCACTTCTTAGCCCATATTTCTGTGGTGTTTTAATTTTTACAGAACAGACTGTGTCGTACTTGAATAGATGTTTCAACACTGGATAGATGTTTAAAGAAATGATTATGGGTGTTCAAAATGATTTAGCCTCAAGGACGTTCAGAAAACAGTAATGGAAGCGTGTCCAGGGGCGCGAAGGGTCTCCTGCATTTCTCTGAGAGTTCACTCACTCTGCTTTATCTCTGTGAGATTCTAACTTGCCTGGAGCTTGGCTCTGGGAGCATGGACAGGGAGCAGACTTCTGGGATCCACCAGAGGCCCACTGTGCAGTGGGGTGCAGGCTGACCTTCAGTGGACTTTCCACACACCCAGGAGCAAGTGAGGTCAGCTGTCTAATCTGAGTCCCCTGTCCACAAAGCGTGGCTACTACCAGGTCCCATCCCAGACCCAGGGAGTAGGTCACCCGGCCCTGCTGCAGGAAAACCACCTCCGGGGGAGGGAGGGGACTCACGCTCGGTACTGACCGCGGCTGGGGGGCAGCAGGCCGCTCAGGTAGGGGAAGCTCGCTTTCCTTAGCTGGTCCAGCTTCTCGCGCAGCTTGCGCACCTGGCTGTCGGAGCGGCTGACCCTCTGCCGCAGGCTCTTGAGCTCGCCATTCTTCTTCTCCACCTGCTCCCGCAGGCAGCACACCTGGCTCTTGCTCTGCCGGGCAGAGAAGCAGTACGAGTGCAGCGAGTCGATGAGCCTGCAGGCCCCTGATGCAGACAGGATGACCTCGTTGATGGACATGGGGCTGGCATCGCTCTGCTGGCTCTGCACGGCCTCCGCAGCTGGCTTCGGGGTGACATCCGTGGGCGGGGCGGAGGGGCTCTGGGCAGGCTTCTGTGGCGTGGCAGTGAGCGAGGCCCTCGGAGGGCTGTGGGCCACACTCTGGTCCGGCCCCAGGCTACTGCCGCTGCCGCTGGGCTCCACGTCTCTCTTCAGCCTCTTCCGGTCAATGGGCTCTCGGGGAACGGAAGGCCTCTCTCGAGTGTGTCTGGAGGAGAAGCTGTAGGAATGCAGTGCGCCGATGAACCTGCAGGCTCCAGACCCGGGGGGAGAGAAGTCTTCCGCCGACACCCCGCCGCGCTCGGCCCAGGCGGCGCCAGCAGGCTGGCCCCTGGCTTCCTCCGCACATGCTCCTTCTTCTCCCTGGCTGCCGGCCCTGGTGGCCGATGGTCCACCTCCTGGGGTCTTCCCCAGACACTGCTGGGCCTGCTCCTGAAGGCGGGGATCTGGGGGGGTCCTGGGTGTGGCATCACCCTGCAGAGTGGCTCGCTTCAGCTTGCGGGGCTCTGGCTGGGCCATCAGGGTTCCACTGGAGGAGGGAGAGCTGCTCACGGCCCCTCTCCCGGCTGCTGTGCTCCCGCGGCCCCTCATGGCCCCCGAGGCCTTGCTGGCGTCCTTTCTCCGAGTCCGGCCATGGCCTGCAGCCCCCCTCTTCTTCTCAGTCAGGTGGAAAATGGAGGGCACTGCTGTGGGCTTGAGCAGGCGGTGCTGGTCCTCCAGCCTTTTGGAGAAGCTGTCTTTGGTGAAATGTTCACTACAGAGGAACGAATACTTAGTGGGGGTCCAGTTTTCCCTCTGAACAGCTTTCAACCACTGGATCAGGCGTTTTGAGTCCTTTAGGGGGAACCTGCGGGATAAATGATAAAAGTACTCATAAATAATTAAATGTTCCCCCCCCAAATTACCAATTATAAAATCAAAACAAGTGTTTTGCAAACATGGAAACCTGCACTGACTTCATCTGCTTAAGAAACACTCCATGGGCTGGGGCTGGGGCTCAGTGGTAGAGCACTCACCTTGCATGTGTGAGGCCCTGGGTTCAATCCTCAGCAGCATATGAAAAAATGAAAGTATTGTGTCCATCTACAACTAAAAAAGAATAACTCCTCTACAGACTTAAAGGAGCTAGGCATGGTGGTACTCACCTATAATCCCAGACACTTGACAGGCTGAGGCAGGAGATCATGAGTTCGAAGCAGCCTCAGCAACTTAGCAAGGCCCTAAGCAACTTAGACCCTGTCTCAAAATAAAAAAATAAAAAGGGCTGGGCATGTGGCTCTATGGTTAAACGCCCCTGGTTAACTTAAGGAAAAATGTGTACTTACAAGTTACTACTAGAATAGGATAGGGAAAGCTCAACAGTCTACTCTTTGGGAGCCCACAGTCTATAGGGCAGAGAGGAAAAATTCATTGCTCCTCACCGGCTGTGACAGATGCCCTATGGGCACACAGGAAGCTCCAGCAATAAAGTACCAGGACAACTGGAAGTAGCTCTAGAAGCTGACCACTGACCAACCCTGAGGGTGTGCCTAGAAGGTAGACTATGGGCACTTAAACCAGGGAGGCTGATTCCTCTATTGAGAAGCCAGGCAGTTTGGCTGCAGATGTAGGGGCGCAAGGCCAGAGAGTGAGCCTGGCATGGTGACTGCCCCAGCATGGACCCAGCTCTAGAGCAAGACTCAAAGGCTGTATTTCTGTGCACTTCCACCAGCCAGGTGAGCGTAAGGATGTAATGAGTGAAATGAGCCGGTCACAGGACAAGTACTGCCTGTACTCACGATCCATGCTACAGAGCCATACAGACACCAAGACACATACAGCAGGTACTGAGAGTACCCAAATTCCCAGAGCCGGCAGGTGGGAGGAGTTTTAGCTTGATGGTGGAGATGACCGCATACAGTGTCACCGTATTTAGTGCCACTTAGAGGAACACTTAAAAATGGTTAGGATAGTAAACATTTTGTGCATCATGCCATAACTTTTAAAAATCAGAAAAAGAAAAATAGGGCAAGCTGTCCTGGGAGGTGCCGGAAGGGACGGTATTATAGCTCCTCCATCAGCTAACCCAGACCCTCGACCACCACTTCATCGTGGCGCAGAGGCGCCCGCACCACACCTCTCCGGGCTCGGTCCACCTGGGGTCCTCCAACCCACCTGAGGCTGCTGTGGGCCAGGACGGGCCGCAGCGGAAGGTGCGGACGTCGGGGCCACGTGACCTCCTAACCCCTCCCGGCGGAGGCCCCAGTGGGCCCGGCCGCTGCGCCTCAGGCCGTTACGACCGCCCGCCGCCCGCCGCCCGCTCGCCTCGGCTCGGCCTGCGCCGCCAACTTCTGGGGCACGTGCTCCGACGCGGACGGGTCCGGGGTCGCCGGTCTCCCCGGCCCGCGGCGGCTGCGAGCCTGCCGCCGCCGCCGCCTCCCACCCCGCCCGGGCTGCACACGCCGAGCCAGTCCCCGACGCTCGCGCAGGTCCCGGGCGCCGCGGCCGGGTGCAGCGAGGGCCTGCGGCGCGGAGCGGGACGCGGGCTGTAGACGCCGAGCGGCCTCAGCGGCCCTCGGCTCGCGGCGCCGGCCCAGGGACGGCGGCCGGGCCAAGGTCATGCGGTACCGCGTCCGCCGCCCGTCCTCCCGCGCCCGCCGCGCGGCCTCAGTTTCCCCGCGGGCCGGGCCCGGCCGGGGGCGTGGCGGGCCGAGCGGCGGGTCGCGTACCTGTGGAAGGAGACGGCGCGCTTTTCTCCCTTGCCCTGACGGTTGGAGCAGTTCACGGCCGCGCAGCAGATCACCATCGCGGGCTCGGCCCAGGGCGCCGCCAGGCTCCGGCCTCGCCGCCCGCCGCCCGGCCCGCCCCGAGGGAGTGCGGCGACACGGCCGGGACGTGGGCCGGCCGCGCCGTACGGCAAGATGGCGGCGCGCTTCGCCGGCCCGCCGCAATCGGCGGCCGGCGCAGAGTCGCCGGGCCGGCGAGGCCGTGCGGCAACACGCGTGCGCGACCCGTCGTCCGGCTTAATGGCCACGCCCGCCCGCCCGCACCCCAACACCGCCAGCAAGCAGAGGTTTTGAGCCCCACGAGCCCCGCCCCATGCGGCTGCCGTACGCCGACATGGCGGTGCCCGCGTTCCGTGGCGCACTTGGCCCCCGCGGCTTCCCGTCGCTGTGTCGCGCTGCGGCCGTCGGAGCGACGCCGCGGTCAGTCGGCCGCCGCCGGGGAAGATGGACGCAGGTGAGCAGTACAGCATCGGGCCTCTAGCGGCGGTGCTCGCTCGCTCGCCCGCCCGCCTTCCCGGCCCGGCCCGGCCCGGGGCCTGCGGCAGGCAGAGACAGTACTCACCGGTACCGCGCCCTCAGCCCGCGGGAGTTCCCGGCCGGGCTCGCGGGCTTGAAGGCCGCGGAGGGCAGCGGAGCGGCTGGGTCCGCCGGGTGGGGACGCCGAGCGCCGAACTCCCGCGAAGTTGTCGGGCGGGCCCCCGAGGCGCCGCGCTCCTCTCTTCGCAGGAGGGCCGCTGTTTCGTCGGCCCGTCCTGCCTGCGGGGTCTGGCGAGCCGCCTCGGGGATGGATGCCGCCGGGCGAGGTGGCTCGGAGGCGCGTCCGTACCCAGGCGTCGTTCGCCCGTGGCCCCGGGCACGCTGTAGACCGGCTCTTTGACGTTCCCAGCGGCGCCGGTTCTGCCTTTCCTGGGGATCCAACGCTGGCCTTCCTTCAAGGGCCCTGCTCGGCGCGGCCGGGAGCGCTTCCGTGGGTCCCCCGAGAGCGTGGCGGGTGCTTTGTTCTGTTCACGGCCGCGGCGGAGCTGGCTAAGCCCGGGAACCGAGGGCACCGTGAGGCCCTCCTCACCGCTCCGCGTCCGCGGCTGCCCGAGGAGTGTCGGCCAGATGTGCATTTCCTGAAGTTTGTTTTTTTAGAATGAGTGTCAGACACTGTCAAACTGGTTTTTGGGGACATGGAGTGGGGATACCTAAGGTTATTGAGAGAGGTGGTTAAGGTAGGAAGCACAGTTTAATGTCATGTTACCTTGAATATGAAAATCATGTTCAAGTTGATAATTTATTATAATAGAGTTTTGTAGTCATATGATAAAGACACCTTAATAGGACATCAAACGCTGCTGCTCTCAGGATCAAAGTAGAAAAGTTGCTTGCATTTGAAAGTCTCTGTTGGGTCTGATAAAAATGTACAATAAGATAGCTGTGCTGGGCGGCATGTGCCTGTGATCCCAGTAACCCAGGAGGTTGAGGCAGGAGGATTGCCAGTTTGAAGCCTGCCTCAGTAACTTAGTGAGACCCTATTTTAAAAGAAAGAACTAGGGATATAGCTCAGTGGTACTGTGTTCAGTCCCCAGTATAAAACAACCTAGAACCTAATGTGTGTGATGTTGTTAAGGTATGATGTTCTCCTTCTGACGCAATGTGGAATGGCCCACCTTTCCCTGGTCTTTGAAGATCTGCCTTCCCTGGCCACATGTAATGCAGGTACTGATTGTTCTTATAGGTATTTCTTCTTCTGTAAACTGCGTTTACTGTTGAATGCCAGGTGTGTGCTGGTCATTGTTCCAGATCCTGTGACTCCAGAAGTGGACAAAACAGATGAAAACCACTGTCTTGGGGCAGCTAACAATCCTGGTGGGGGACCAGGAGGAGCAGCAAGAGGTGTGGCTCCTGCAGACTAGAGAATGTGGACTGTGCAGGAGGGCTTTGGATTGCAGCCTGGATAAGTCCCACTTTGAAGGTTACATTCTAACCAAGACCCAGAGCAGTGCAGGAGGAAGGGCAAGTGGGCTGATCTGAGAGCAGCAAGGAAGCTGGAGTCGCCAGGTGCCTGGTGTGAGAGAGGTTGGAGCAGAGAGTGGGAGAGTTGTTAGGCCCAGCCGTGGGGCCCTGCTGGGTCACAGTGAGAACTTGGGCATTTGTTCTGAATAGGATGAAACCCTTTGGAAGGATGGAGAGGAGAAGTAGCATGACTGGACTTGGGTTTAACAGAAGTGTTGTGGCCCTCCATTGAGAATATGTCTCAGAGGGATGTTGACAGAACCGTTCTGATAAGCAGGCACAGAAGAGGGGCTAAGACTTAGGTCGGGGTGAGGAGAAGAGGTTGAATTCTGGACATGTTTTGAAAATCGGGACAGTAGCATTTGTTTACAGATCACAGGTTGGGAGAAGGGTAGGTAGGGAGGAGAGAGAGATGGCACCAGAGGTCACTGCCTGAGCTGAGAAACGTGGGGAGGCCCTGCTTCATGGGGAGCTGTCAAAACTTTGGCTTTGTGTGTGCTGAATGTGGAGCAGTGTCCAGGGAGCCATTGTTTTACTGGCTGGGCGCTAAGGGAATAAAAAGCCTATGACAAAGGTGTGTATGAAGCTACATCAGATGAGGTGGCCCAGAGGCCGAGTAGGTAGACAAGAGAGGAGGCCAGGGGGGCAGCCCAGGGCTGCTGCTCTTGGGGGGGGGGGACGGGGGACACTTTCTGCTTTCTCCTAGCTGGCAAGCACTTTTTATAAGAACATGCTCCTGGTTCAAAGAACTGTCAGGAGCCAGGACCTAGGTAACTTTATTTCTATTCCTTGGTGACAGAACCAGTGTCATGTGCCTGTGTCTCCTGCGCCTCACATTGTGTCTGGTACATGTTTGGTACTTGATGAAGCAGAACTATTGAATTAATAGTTTATATACTTTCTACTACAGGTTGAGTGTCGTTAATCTAGAAATGGAAATGTACCAAAACTCCTCAAAACCAGAAATATTTTGAGCACTGGCATGACACCACAGGTGGAAGAGTCCCCACCTGCCTTGTGAGACAGGCTGTGGTCTAGGTGCAGTCCATTGGACGTGGTATGTCACTTTGCCTTGAGGCTGTGTAGGTGTGTGTGAAACGAAAGTGGGTCCCAGCTCCAGTATCTGCATCTGTACATGCAGGTGTTCGAGAATCTGAAAAGCAGAGGGGTGTGCGACCTGTGTAGGGGTGTGTGCTGGGTCTGTGTGGAGTGTAAGTCTGTGCTGTTAGCATAAGGCTCCGTGACTGCAGGGCAGCGGGTTCGATGTGGACATTCTGTCCTGTGTATTCACTAAAGCAGTGTTGTCTTACATAGCTAAAGCCCCCACTGTCTCGGTTGTCGTCATTTCTTTTACATTCAAACTGCTGTCTTAAACTTGAGTTTTCTAAAAGGGGGAAATCCCGTCTAGATTTATTTATACAGTATAATCTTTTAGTAAATATCTTCAAAATGGGGAATATTATAGTAAACTCTAAAAGAAACGTTGGTCATATGTATGTTTTTTGTGGTTCTCTCTGCATGACAGTGTAGTTGGTACTAAGAGAGGTTAAATTCATTGAGCATATTTCCCTATATTTCTGCCTGTGAGATTAATAGCATTAAATCACTTGCTTTTTTAAATGTAATTACCATATCATTAAAACACTTTCTGCTTTCTTCTGGGTTGTGATCACAGAAGTCCCAAGAGGAGGTTGTGGGGGCTAGGGACACAGCTCAGTTGGTAGAGCTTCCCTCACATGCACAAGGCCCTGGGTTCCATCCCCAGTACCACAAAAAAAAAAAAAAAAGAAGAAGAAGAAGGAGGAGGAGGTGTGGGAAGCCGTGCCTCTGGGGTGCAGGTGGCCGCGTGGGACCCCTTTGGGGAGCTTTCCTCCTGGGTGAGGTGCTTTGCTGTCCTCTCCTCCCTGTGCTGTGCGTTTGAGTTGGCACCATTGTCTGGCAGTCTGGAGCCTGGCTTTCTCTTTGAGGGCTGCCTTCTCAGCTCAGGAGCTTTGTGCCTGCTCCATAAGTGGCATGAGGTGGTGTGTGAAGATGGTGCCATCATAGTAAGGGCTGTAGAACAGTGCTGAGGACCCACTGTGGACAATGGAGAGCCTGCTGGCTTTGGGCCCTGTGAGCCCAGAGAGTGGAGTAGCCCTGCTTGCTGGTCAGTCTGTCAGTCAAGACTGTGAGTTGTGGTTTGCTTTCATCCTGGATTCTCACGTATACCTGGGCAGAGCTAGTGCTGTTGCCCCACTCCATGGTGAGGAGTGTGTCTTAGAGGCAGTTCAGGTGTATGCCATGCACCTGGCAAATGGGCTTTCTGTCTCCAGAAACAAACCTCAGTAGAAAACAAAAGTTTATTTGAAGAATCTCTCCTTTGTCATTCAGAGCAAGATCCTGAGGCTGGGGGCTCTGCCTGCCATGGCCTCGGCCTGGGGTTCCTGGTGGTGCCTTGTTCAGGCACCTCAAATGTAGGGCCTGGCTTGTGCATTTCCTCCTGTCCCCAGTGCAGAGGCATGGAGACCCTCTAGGTGCTCTTCTGGCAGGAATGCTGCAGCTCCCTGTCCAGGGCAGAAGCTCAGGCGTGGACTCCCAGCATATGGGATGGCTGCCTTCTGCTCTTGACATACAGTTGCCTCTGTTTGAAACAAGTTCGCAGTGTCAGACTCTATTTGGTGAAGAGGCTTACATGTTTGGTTCCTGCCTCGCTATGTCTAACTGCAGCTCGGGCCCAGAATGTCACTCCACATCATGTCCTGACCTGGTTACCAGTGTCCTCAAACCCCGTCCAGTAGCTCGGCCTTGACCACCATGCCACGCTTCTGGGAATGTGTTCAAGGCCCTATGGCCCTGCAGTTCTGCCCTTGTTGTTGTCGGACACAGAGGGGTAGCAAGCCTGGCCCTGAGGAGGGTACAGCACCCACAATTAGTCCCAAGGCAGCTGAGATTCTCAGACGAGGCAGGGCAGGATGCAGAGGAGGCTGCCTGATTGTCTAGTCAGGAGGGGTGTGGAGTGTGGGGCTGGGGCAGGGACCCTGTGGATGGTGGATGCTGTGCTCTGTGCTCCATGAAGCTGAGGAGAGCTCTGGGTATCTCTTGATACTTGTGTTCCCTTTGGGGGTGGTGTTTGACTCTACCACCAATCTGCACTCCCATCCCTTTATAAAATGTTTTGAGCCAGGGCCTCGCTAAGTTGTCTGGACTGACCTTGAACTTGGATTCCTCCTGCCTCATCCTCCAGAGTTGCTGGGGTCACGGGTGTGGCCATTGCACCGGACTGCTCCCTATAGTTTCTGCTTCCTCAAGCTGACTCTTGATTCATGAGGCCACATAGCCCATAATCTTCACAGTTATGGTAGCAGCTTTGGTGAGGGTGACCGTGCTTGTGACCTTCACTCTGAAGTTGGCTTCTTGCCTGTAAAGCTACCGAGCCACCCGGGAATGTGGTGGCTCCGCGTTTTGCTGCTTTGGAGATGAAGGTGTCGACTTCAAAGCTGTCCTGGCCTGGTGCCCACTTTCAGAGTGAGAATTTGTCCTCTGCTTCCTCATCTGCCTGTCTGCTCCCTTTATTGTTTATATTTTTAGCGTGGGAAGCTGGATGTCATAGAAGTTTCCCAGTTTCCTGATTGAGGCCTTGGCTAACTTGGTGATAGTGTCCTTTACCCGAGAGCAGATGCCACGTCCTATGAACTAGGGTATGGAGATGCCTACCCAGCTTGCTCCTTGGTGCTCCAAAGCCTTAGCAGATAACATGGCTTTATTAAAGCCTGTGCCTTGGCAGGATCGCAGGCATCGGTAGAATGTTCCAGCAAGGTTGGCATTTCTCTCCTCTGGTGTTATCAGTTGCAATTCCCCAAGGTTGTTTGCATCCTTTCACTTGAGAATAAGCTTTTTGGATTTGGGTTTGTGCGCTGGATAGCACTGAAGTGATGAAGACACGGGTAGTCTGGAGAGCAGGGGTGACCCTTGGCCTTCAGCTTCTTGAAGATAGGCATCGACTTTAAAAATTCAGCTGGGATGAATTAAAGTCTGTGCCTATCTTTTCAGGAAACTAAAAGAACATCCAGAGATTGTGCAAAATCAGTCTTATGTAAATAGTGGGAGACATAAACCTGGACTTCATTCATGGTAGCCCAGCTGCATGGTTGACATTGTCTCTGAATGCAGAGCCAGACAAAGCTGCTATCATGCTGGGGAAGTCTCAGCAGTGCTCAAAAGAGGGCGGAGCTGGGCAGGAACACAGCCCCTGTCCTGGGTTTGTGGGTTCTGCCCCTGCTGCTGGCTGAGCCTGCAGATGAGCTGCGTCCAGGTAAGCCTTTGGGCATGGTAAGGTGTGTGTGCCTTCACCCCCACTCTTGATGTTGATGACATTGCTGACGCCGGTGCCCTTCTGTCTGCCAGCCTGTATCTCTGGAGGAGTCTTCCATGGAGACATCACAGCCACATAGCAAGGCTGTTATTACACCACTTTATGGATGAGAGATTGTCCATGCTTAAAAGTTAAATAAATGGCCCAGGAGCCTATAGCCTCTGAGTGCTGAGCTGGAATTTAAACCTTGATGCCAGGTTTCAATGCCACCCTGCTCCACACCTTTGCAGAGGAAGCAGTATAGAAGCAGCGTACAGGGTTGGCCATGCTGTAGCCCACAGCGGTGCTCTGAACTAGCTACAGTGTCACTGCTGGGAGGCCAGGGAGAGCTGTGCTCATGCAGAGTGATGGACACAAGCAAGGCCCCCAGGCACGGCTTGCTTCCCACCGGGTGTGCTCCAGGTGGTGATACCTCAGATGTTTATTTATTTATTTATTTTTATCTTTGCACTGTTCAGCATTTTCAAAAATCATTCAAAAAATAAATTCCAGCTGGGCTTGGTGGCATACACCTGTAAACCCAACAACTTGGGAGGCTAACGCAGGAGGATGTGAATTCAAAGCCTTAGCAATTTAGCAAGATCCTGTCTCAAAATAAAAAATAAAAGGGCTGGGGATGTGGCTCAGTGGATAAGTGCCCCTGGGTTCAACCCCATCACCAACAATAGAAAAAACTCCAACATGGGAGCAATGAGTGGAGTCAGGTCTTCAGAAGGTCTTCGTGAAGTTGCAGGGGAAGCTCGTGAGTGGTTGTCACCATTGATGTTCAAGAGGCAGCAGGTGAGCCTGTGTGCTCGGAGTTTTCTGAGGGGCAGCTGGAGAGGCCTTTAATGTCCCTGAAGCATGCCCTGTGCAGCTGGCCTTGTGGCTTTGGCTGCGTGCCCTTTGCTGGCTGGTGGAGCATGGGCTTCCTCAGCCATCCTCAGGGTTCTGTGGACAGGAGGAACCTGAGCCTTTCTGGTTTCTTCACTAAAACAAAACAGACATGGAGCTCTGTGGCCAGCACCTCCTTAGCCAGCAGGCTCTGCTGCCATAGAGCCCTTTGGTAGCAGCCTTGAAGTGAGCATCCCTTCCAGGCCTTGATTGAGGCCTCAGGGCACCTGCCTTCCTTTGGGGACTTTGCAGAGAAATCCATCTTTCAGTTTCCAACCCAGGAGTACCACCCTCTCCCTCTGTAGTTAGGTGCTTCTAACTAGCAGAAATCAGATGGACCAGGATCCCCAGGCTTCTGAGGGTTCTGATCCTGCCATCATCACAGCATGTCTGAGTATGCTGCCAGGGTGACATCTGCTAAGGCTTAGGATGCCACAGTGCTTCACGTTTTGAACATGCTGCCAGGGTGACAGTTGGTGACCTTACGATGGCCGTGGACTTCTGTGACCTTCTTGGTCCGTGGAGACAAAGTGCGTGGCTTCATTTTATTTTATTTTAGCTTTAAATACTGTAAGTCTGAAACAGTCGAATGCTGAGGTCAGGTGGCTATCCCCAGCTTTGTTCCCTTAAACACTGGCCCTAACTTTGTCCCCATCATGTCAGTTGCCAGACAGTCACACGGTAGCTAAGCATCTGAAAGGGGTGACCACCTCCATCCCCAGTCCTCAGCAGGCAGCTGTGTGGCCCTCTGCCCTGTGTATTTAGGCATCAGCTTTGCGAGGATGGTGCTGGTGCCAAGAGGCAGGGCGTGCCACCTGCCTCTAGAGGCTGCTGGTGCTCTTTGATGGTGTAGAGGTGCTGTGGATGGTCTCTTTGGCATCTGTGAGATTATGAGAGTCAGATGGATGTGTCTGGTTCCCACAGCCACTCTGACCTATGACACTCTTCGGTTTGCTGAGTTTGAGGACTTCCCTGAGACCTCAGAGCCTGTTTGGATCCTGGGCAGAAAATACAGCATCTTCACAGGTATTGCCATGTCATTGTCCCTCTGCTGCCTGCAGAAACATCTGGTGATAGCAATCGCTGACTCCTCTGTGATTTTTGACTTATAAACTTAAGGCTTTATGTGTCTTCCTCTTTTAAACAATCCAGAAAAGGACGAGATTTTGTCCGATGTGGCATCCAGACTTTGGTTTACCTACAGGAGAAACTTCCCAGCCATTGGTGAGTACCCCACTGTCTGTGGCAGAGCACACGTGCCAAGTGTGGCCCTACAGAGACGGCTGCCTGTGTTGGGGTTGAGGGCAGGCACAGATCCTGTGTCTGCTCCCCACTGCAGTGTGGAGCCACCCCTGCCTCCGGGAGCACGTAGCTCCCCCGCCACAGGGTGGCTTCGGAGTGCCAGATGTCTCTTTCAATCCCCATGGCAAGCCAGTTGAGCCATGGCTGATGTCCGGCCCCCTGACAGGAAGCTGGGCTTAGGGCTGAGCTCTGGGCTCCTGGGGGCAGTGCTTCTCTGCCTGCGAGTGAAGCACTGCCCCCTCGTGGCTGGAGCTGGAGTTTGGCATCAGGAGTTGTGATGGGGTCTGAACTTGAAGACAGGCGATGGGGAGCAGCTGGGCCAGGAAGAAGGCAGGCCTAGGGCATGGGCTGAGTCTACACTTGAATGCATGTTCTTGTGTGGTTCCAGCATGTTTGGAAGACACTTAGCTGTGGGGGTCCGAGGGAAGGGGTTGTGGCCCGTTTTCCTGTGAGCACTAAAGTTCATGCCATTCATTAGTGCTCTGTTGTCATGTGCCCTGCAGGTGGAGAAGGCTGGGGCCAGCCCTCCACCTGCCTTTTATGGTCAAAGGACCCAAGGCTGGATGTTAGGCCCCAGACCAATACCACGTCCCCCAGAGGTCGGTCACCAGTGGGTTCCTCCCCAGTGGTCTTTCACCCTTCTCAAAAGTGTGGTAGAACTAGGTGTGAGGATACATACCTGTAATCCCAGCAGCTTGGGAGGCTGAGACAGGAGAATTGCAAGTTCAAGGCCAGCTTCAGCAACTTAGTGAGGCCTTAGGCAACTTAGCAAGACCCAGTTTCAAAATATAAAAGGGGCTGGGAATATGGCTCAGTGGTTAGGTGCCGCTAAGTAAGATCCCTGGTACCAAAAATAGTGAAGGTGGAGGTAAAGTAGACCCAGTGGCCTGGCATTCTGGGACAGCAGAGTGCGGGGGTGAGGTGCAGCTCCCTCAGGCAGGTTCCTCGTGGTGAGACTGTTAGGATGGTCTGGACATTGTCACTCCTAACATAGTCGCTCAGTCGACACCTTCAGTCAGCCACGCGACCAGCACGCGAGCTTCATAATAGAGGTTCGAAGCATAAAGATTAACTAGTGAGTTTTAAAATTAAAGAGACATAATTCTCGTTACCTTTATTGTCCAGCTCCAGAGATGGCTCCTCCTAGCTCCCGCCTCCAGCCACCTAATGCGGTGGCAAGGTTAACATGAGGCCAGCAAGAGAGAGAGAGAGAGCACGCCAGGGAATGAGCTTTTATTGGGGAACAAAAAATTCAAAGGAAAATTCCATCCAATGAAGGTCGAGGGGGGCAGCATTCCAAGGTCAGGGTCAGTGATTGGTCTTCGGGTCAGTGATTGGTCTTCGGGTCAGTGGTCAGGCACACCTCCACACGGAGAAGCCCTCATACCTGGGACAAGGTGGGGAAGGCTTTGACACAGTTGTGTCTAAGTGCTTCTCACCCAGCCAGGGAGGTAACTCAAATCACGTGCAAGAATGGCTTCCCACACTCCAGGCCTGCTCTAAGCATGGCCTTGTCCATGATGGCAGGGTGCTAGGGAGGAGGCCCGAGCTGGAGAGCTGCCTTCCTCACTGGCCACATTGGTGAGAAGAGGCTGGAATGAGTCACTGTGGGCGAAGCAGCCTGGAGGTCCTGAGTGCCAAGTGTGGCCCTACAGAGACGGCTGCCTGTGTCAGGGTTGAGGGCAGGCGCAGGCCCTGTGTCTGCTCCCTGCTGCAGTGTGGAGCCGCCCCTGCCTCCGGCCAGCATCAGCAGCCCCTCCTCCTCGTAGGACAGTAGGGCGGCATTCCATGAGAGTCCTGCTGCAGGCTGGCAGGATGTTTCCCACGTCTGTTACCTTACACACTGTCCCGAATGGACCTGATGTGCTGGAGAGGGAGTGGTGGTTGGCCACTGCTGTGCTAGCCCCGCTGTGCTCAGCAGTACCAGTGTTGTGGAGACTGTGGCCCTCTGCTTTCTAGCAGGTGGAAGGTGGCCTTCCTCATTCAGCTCTGCCTTCTGGGGCCTGAGCATTCCTGTGGCCTGCTGACCAGGCTTGCTCACACTTCACTCCTCTCAAGGGCTCATGTGTCAGGACGTCCTGCTCCCCAGCAAGTGCAGTCTTCCTGAGTGCTCAGAGGTGCATGTTGCCCAGGACAGCTGGTGTGTGAGGGGTCAGCAGCTCCTGCCCCTGGCTCCAGCCTCTGCTGGAGCCTCTGGTCTTGAGTGCTTCTCTCTCATGACAGGGGGAACTGGCCCCACCTCGGACACAGGCTGGGGCTGCATGCTGCGCTGTGGACAGATGATCTTTGCTCAGGCCCTAGTGTGCCGGCACCTAGGCCGAGGTGAGTCTCGGCACCAGGGGAGGGGACTGTGGCAAAAGGTGTTTCAGGGACATCATACCAAACCATAGGCTAGAGCAAGCATGAGGTTTCCCTCATTGGTGACCCACTGGTCTTCACAGTTCAAAACACAGTTTTCAGTTTAAAAAATGCTGGTAAGTGTTAATTTATTAGAAATTACTGTTAAACCATTTTCTGTTTTCTCTTTGGGTTTGTTTTGATGTGTTGGTGAATAGATTTGAAATTCTGGAGAGTTTGGCTTTTAACTTTGGAAAGGCTCAAAATTTCAGAGCATGCCTATAATCCCAGTGACCTGGGAGGCTGAGGCAGCAGTATTGCAAGTTTGAAGCTAGTCTCAGCAACTTAGTGAGACTCTGTCTCAAAATAAAAAGTAAATTAAAAGGGCTGAGGTTGAAGCTTGGTAGTAGAACACTTGCCTAGCATGATGAGGCCCTGGGTTCCATCCCTAACACCACCACCAACCAGAGCCTGAAGACTGAATCTTGCATGGTGTGTGAAAGGACTGTTTCTCACATTCGTACTTGAACTGATCTTGGGTGTTTGTTTCCAATAGATTGGAGGTGGGTGCAGCGCAAGAGGCAGCCTGACAGCTACTTCAGTGTCCTCAATGCCTTCCTGGACAGGAAAGACAGCTACTACTCCATTCACCAGATAGGTGGGGACCTTACACACATGCCGGTCTGGCTCTGCAGAGGGCAGTGGCGCTGGGCCTTCCCCAGGAGCTGGCTGGTCTCGTGGAGTTGGAGCATGAGGCTGTGGGGTCACTCTGGCCTCTGACCACTGCCCTGGGTGTGGCCTGCTGTGCTGCTGCTCAGAGCAGTCTCTGGGACCCAGATGCATCCTGAAGGTTGGCTCTCCTCTGCTGCCACTGAGGCCGAGTGCTCAGGCAGGAGTGAGTGAAGGGCTGCACGGTTTTGGCTGAAGCAGGCCCAGTTGGAGCTCTGAGTCCTACCTGCAGGAGGAGGAGAAGGGTGGACCCGGCCCCCAGAACCTGGAGTTGCTCCATATCCTCCAGCCCCTCCTTGAGTTCATGGGCCAAGTGAAGGACAGCACTTGTGATGTCCTCTGTCCCTGTCCCACCTCCCTTTTTAGCACGTGTTCTTGCATCTCACCTGAGCACCCTCCATCTGGATGGTGTCCTGTGTAGGCCTTCCTGCCTCCACATGTCACAGAGGTGGGCAGGAGTTTTGGGTGCCAGGGGAGGCTGCGTGTCACTGATCCAGTCTGTTCCCTGCAGCGCAAATGGGAGTCGGCGAAGGCAAGTCAATAGGCCAGTGGTACGGACCGAACACGGTGGCCCAGGTCCTCAAGTGCGTACTGAGACTCAGCCTTATGCTTCTTTGGGGCAGCGTGAGTTTTCCTTGACACTTAGGCCTTCCTTGTTCTTGTTGCCTCAGGAGATAAGGGTCCTTCCTGATCCTTTGCTTGTAGGCCTCTGGGGGTCCTCGGAGGTGACTGTGCCAAGTGGGATTTGTTTTCTGGGGAAAGAAAACAACTCAACCCGACCCCACGTCATGTCTGTGGCCCTGGGCCCTTGTTCTTGGCTCATGGATCTGCACATGGCAGGATTCCCCTTGGTCTGGAAACACGGAAGTGCTGGTGACCCTCTGTATGGGTGCTGTGGTCTTCTACCTCACAGGCTATGGTCCCCTTCCCACCTTGTCCAGGGTCTGCTGGACTCCACTCCTGTGCCCTCCATGCCGGAGGTGTCCAGTGACTAGAGCAGAGCCTGTGCCCACCTTCCTGGTGCAGGGGAGGCAACGCTGGCAGCCCCCAGCACTGTCAGTGCCTCCAGTTCTCCCTGCGGCTGCCAGGAACACTGCGCTTCTCAGTCCTGGACCTGTCCTTTCTGCCTGGCCTGCCTCACCCTTCCCTCTGGCTATGTGCACTGGTGTCCTGGCAGCACTCGGGCCTCTTTCCTGCTGCACTGAGGCCATCATCTCCCAAGTCCTGCTTCAGCTGTGACTGTCCCTCAAAGACCTGCTTGCTTGCAGGGTCTTGCTTGAGGGTTTCTTGCTTTATATCCCCTCGAGGCCAGCTTGGCATCGGCTACCCTGCGTTTCTAAAATGACCCTGCTATTCGTCCCTGCCAGCCTTCTGCTCTCCTCCTCAGGAAGGGTTTCTGTCTCCACCAGCTCCTTTTGTCAGGTTCCTTGGGCTCCTCCTGGACGCGTCCTTCTGTGCCACAGCTGGCTGCCAGCCGTCCCAGGCCTGTACCTTCTCCCTGCCTCCTTGGCTGGGCCTGTCTGGCATCCACTGCACACCCGGGACACCTCGTGGGGTCTGCAGGCCCCCCACCCCTTTCACGGATGCCCTTCTCCTGCTGCTGCTCTGGCAGCCCTGAGAAGGTCCGTCAGTGCTTCATCACATGCAGAGCCACACTTGGTCCCCGACTTGCCCAGTGGCAAGTAGCCCTGGGTTCAGGTGCTTGTACCCTTTCTGGAAATGCCAGGCCAGGCTGCTCCACTCCTCCTGCCCTCTGCCCTCCTCTCTGTCTGTGTTGGCTCCTCTTCCCTGACCTGTGAGGGCTGCAGGCCTGGGTTCTGGCCCGAGGCTGCTGGTGCAGGATTGGCAGAGCTGTTCTTCGAGCGCACAGGCTCAACTCGGCTCACTGCAGACCCCTTCCCTCAGCACCCCTGAGGCTCCCTGACTCTGCCTCCTCTCCCCACCCCTGTCTGCGTCTTGGTTCTGCCTCCTTGTTGGCCTTCCTTCTGTCTCTGCCATCCTGATAGACTGCTGCTCTGGGCCTCCCTGCTGACTGGTGGTGTGCCCATACCACTCCGGCTGGCCTCGCTGCCCTGTTAGCCCTCTCACTGTGCCCTGCACGGTAACCTGGGCCCCATACAGGTGCACTCCTGGGCTTTTGCTTGGGCCCTGGTTTGGAGCCCTGGGCTGCTCCCCATCTCTGCCTTCCTGCAGGGGCACTGGCAGCATCTCCCCCTGTAATAGGGCTCCCTGATTCTTCCATCTGCCCACTAGCTGCTTCTCGTCCATGTTCCCTCCGGGTCAGCGCTGGGAAGTGCTGCTCAGTCTCACCTGTGGTGGACTTGGAGCACCAAGGTGGCCTGGAGCCTGTGGGGTGGGCTGCTCTCCCACGGCCCTCGAGGCTCTACATCAGAGGGGGCTCCACATGGCTACGCCAGGGACTCCCAGACACTGGCTGGTATTTTGTCCTCATAGCTCAGGGCCTGAACATATGTCCCTGTGCCGGGAGTGTCCCTTCTTTCTAGTCATTCGCTGTTTTTTTTTTTTTTTTTTTTTTGGCGGACACTACATCTTTATTTTATTTGTATGTGGTGCTGAGGATGGAACCCAGCGCCGCCCGCATGCCAGGCAAGCATGCTACCGCTTGAGCCACATCCCCAGCCCTAGTCATTCGCTATTGAACTGGTTCTCTGCCCCTCCCCGCAGCACCACCATCAGGGCAGATCCTGACTGCCATCTGTTCCTCCCTTAGAACCACCAGCTGCAGCCATAGCTCCCCCACCACAGTCGCAGCTGTGCAGCTCAGCAGGCTGGAGGCTGGTGGCCAGGGGCAGGGCTGCCTGCACAACAGTGAAAGCTCTGCAGTCTGAAAGCTGGGCTCATGTCCACGCCACCTTTGTGCAGCCCAGGGGTTCTTGTGGGTGTGCCCTGGACTGAGAGCAGCTCTGGCAGAGGTGGGCGTGGGTGTTGTGGAAGTGGTCTGGGTAGGGGAACTCACCGGCATGCTGTCCTGCTCGCCTAGGAAGCTGGCTGTGTTCGACACCTGGAGCTCCTTAGCTGTTCACATCGCGATGGACAACACGGTGGTGATGGAGGAGATCAGTAAGTGGCTCATGGTGTCAGCTGGGGGGCGTGTTGTGGGTGATATGTTTCCTGCTGAACCCAGGAAGGAGCCCTGCCTGGAGAGTTCTGTCTCAGCAGCACCAGCACTCCCTTTGGGTGGAGGGCCTAGGCTTTCTCCAACAGTGAGTTACTTAATACTCCGTGTCATTTTTTTTTTTTTTTTTTTTTTTTTGTATCTTTATTACAAATAATATGTTAAAGCCAGGGGCACTGGCCCATACCAATAATTCCAACAGGAGGCTGAGGCCAGAGGATTACTTGAGTTCAGGAGTTAGAGGCCAGCCTGGGCGATATACTCTGAAAAAAGCAAAACCAGGGGGCTGGGGCTGTAGCTCAGTGGCAGAGCACTTGCCTAGCACATATGAGGCATTGGGTTCGATCCTCAGCACCACATGAAAATAAACAAATAAAAAGCAAAACCAGAAACCAGTAGTAGGTCAGAGCATCCATATTCAGCCACCCCTGTGCAGGGATTCTGGCCGAGTGTCTCTGCATCCACACCCCCTGGTAGGTTGCCAGAGCTTTTGCTCAAGCAGATGCAGCCCTAAAGCAAGTGGATCACACAGCCTCTGGAAGGAAGACCCACCAGGAACCTGAGAGAACCTAGGCGTGCCAAAGTGGGGTCCTGGAGGACGGTCCTATCCTGGCTCAGCAAGGCTTTGAGCCTACTGGGCTCTGGGCCCTGTCCTCCCTGCCATGGTGCAGCCCCAAGGCCTCTGCTGGTATGCTTGGTGCGGCTGCGCACAGCAGTTCTCTTCTTCCTGAAGGACCCCCCAGTGCTGGTTCAGCCAGCTTTGGAGTACCGCCTGTGGGCTGTTGCCTTGAATCAATCTATCTCTCTCTTTCCTTCCTTCCTTCCTTCCTTCCTTCCTTCCTTCCTTCCTTCCTTCCTTCCTTCCTTCCTTCCTTCAGCTGTCGTTGGAGACAAGACCTTTATTTTATTTATTTATTCTTATGTAGTGTTAAGGATTGAACGCAGCTCCTCTCATGTGCTACGCAAGTGCTTTACTACTGAGCCCCAGCCCCAGCCCCTTGAATCCACTTTTGCTGAACAAGAACACATTGGGAGTGTAGAGGGGAGACCCCTTCCACTGTGATGTGCAAGCCACTGTAGCAACCTTGCATCAGAGCAGGTCCCTTCTCTGCCAGCGATGGCCCTCCTGTCCCCCTTCCTCATCCAGGATCATCCTGGGGGTCGCTGCTGACAGTGCTCGGAAGGAGCAGGACCTGGCACAAGTGAGGCCCTACGCGGTTGCTTCACTGTAGCCAGACTTGCTGTCATGACTGTGGGCCCTGGAACTGCAAGCTCGAGACCATTAACAAAGTGTGTGTTTCCCTTCTGCCTTTCCCTCTTTCCTCTGTTTCTTGACATCTCTATGAAACCCATGAAAAGTGCAAAGAAAGAAGCCAGATTTTTTCCCCTGGCAATACTGGGGACTGCACCCCCAGGGGCACGACACTGAAGTATACCCCTAGACCTTTTTCTTTTTCATTTTGAGATAGGGTTCTGCTAAGTTGCCCAGGCCGGCCTTTAACTGAGGTTCCTGCCTCAGCTTCCTAAGTAGTGGGGATCACAGGTGTTCAAAACTGTGCTGGTTTAGAGTCACTGATTTGGCCACTCAGACACTGTGACATGTTCTCTTCCAGTGGGGTGTTTTTGTTTTTTTTTTTTTAATATATATTTTTTTAGTTGTAGGTGAACACAATGCCTTTATTTTTATTTATGTGTTTTTATGTGGTGCTGAGGAACGAACCCAGTGCCTCAACTGTGCTAGGTGAGCGCTCTACCACTGAGCCACAGCCCCAGCTCCTCTTGCAGTGTTTTTTGATGCTTTTCAAGGATTAAGTAGCTGGGCACAGTGGAAGCTACTTGGAAGGCTGAGGTACAATGATGGCAAATTTGAGGCCGGCCTCAAAACTTAATGAGACTCTGTCTCAAAACAAAAAATGAGGGCTGGGGTGTAGCAGAGTGGTAGAGTGCCCCTGGGTGCAATCCCCAGTGTAGTAAAAACAAACAGGAGCTCCGTGGTAGGCAGATGTGGTGACTGTCTTACTAACTGGCCGCAGTGTATCAGTGTGCTTCCACCACCACCACCACCCCACCTGCCATTCAGGGTCCAGCCAGCCACACCCTCAACTCCTGGCTTCACCCAGAATCCTGAGGCCTCCAGTTGTGAAGCAGCATTGTGGAACTGGCAAGTCCATGAGCCCAGGTCTTGCTGGGAGGGTGCAAATCAGGTCCTGGGAAGAGCCAGAGTCTGCATGTTTTAACAGCTCCTGGGGGACTGGAGGTTCTTGAAGCTGACCAGGACCCCTTCAGAAGTGATGTGTTTATCACAAGGACAAAGGCGAGAGGCCTGACTCCTGTGTGTAAGGGTGGCCCAGACACTGAGGCAGATGGGCAGGTGGGATTGCTGAGCATGGCGTTGCGTGGCCAGGGGTCACATGAGGTAATTCTGATAGTCTTTGGTGCTCCAGGAGATAGGAAGTTAGCTGCTTTTCTATCCCACTACCAAGAGATGTCCCACTAGCCTAGAAGAGACGGCAGCAAAGCAAAAGCTGGACAAAACCACGCCTTGGCTGTGTCTCAGAGCTGCTTGTGGAAGGAATATATGTTCAGATGCTCCATCGAGGCCTTTCTCTCCAGTGGGAACTGGCTCATCTCAGCCCCACCCAAGTCAGGTAGTCTAGGAGGCAAGGGGAAGCCAACCACGATGTCCACAGCAGCTGCACCTGCCTTAGCAGTGCTAACTGTGAACCTTATGGCTTCAGTAGACAGTGGTGAGTCCCCTGATAGGGGAAGACTGCAGATGAAAACGGCGTGGGTTTCCACTGGGACAGTGTGAGTCGGCACGACTGTCCCAGTGCAAGCAAGTGGAGCCCCTGTGAGTGCAGCCACATTGAGAAGAAGGGTGGAGGGAAGAAGTGCAGGACTGGAGTTAGGCTTCCTGTGTTGAGTAAAGTGGAGCTGGTCTGAGTTGCTGAGGGCCTCACTGAATTGCTCAAGCCGGCCTTGAACTTGTGATCCTCCTGCCTGTGCCTCCAGAGTTGCTGTGATTACAGGTGTGCACCTTTGCTTCCAGCAAGACCCCGTTTGTTTGTCAACTCAGGAATACCTAAGTGTATACATTCCTGGTGCTATTTCCACATAGCAAAAGTAGAAACTTCCATAAGCATCCACATAATGATACCTGCCTTTTAGGAAAGGGGTTCCACTGGTCCTGGGTCCCTCTTCCTGCTGTGCCGGGCGTTCAGGGTTCTGAGGAGAAGGCTTGGTGTCTGGGAGGCAGGCAGGCATGCACACCGCAGAGGTGAGTACCTAAGAAAGGCTCCATGGGTGACAGGGTCAGCAAGTCCCAGCTCACAGCAGGCCCCCTTGCTACATGTGCTGACTGAGGGCAGAGTGACAGGCTGCTTGCTATCATCTCATGGCCTGCTGTGGTCACCTGGAGTGGAAAAGGTCTAGCCAGCGAGGAGACCACCATTGACACAGAGCTTTGCCTCAGAGTCCACAGGGCAAAGTCCTCAGGAGGGAAGAAATTGCATAACGCAGAATAGGCACTGGAAGACCAGAATCACAGCTAGAGCACTGGATGGACGCGTGCCCCAGGTTCTGGTGGTGGGTGGCCCTTGGAGAAGAAAGGGCAGAACTGGAATTGGCTGTTGGGAACAGTGATATGCATTTATCAATCAGAGCTAAACAGAAAGTTCAAAAAAACTTTTTTTTCTAGTGAGCTATCTTGAGAAGTTTTAGTCCTATAAAAAAATTCCAGTGAATGACAACTACTTTTTAGTCACCTTTGATCTGGAAAGTTTTCGCTCTCTTTTGGGCCTTCTTAGCATTGATGGTTTTGAAGAATCCAGGTTGGCTAACATCCCTCACGCTGTACCTGTTTCCTGAGGCTGCGTTCAGGTTAAGTGTGTAGATTGAGAACACCTCTGGGTGGCACTCTGTCCTCAGTGTCCCCTGTCAATAATGCCATGCCAGGTCACCTGGGCAAGGTCGTGTCTGTCTGCAGGGACCTTCTCTTGTAAGTACACTTATGAGCAGCCTGGCTGATCTCAATAGGCAGTGGTGAGTTTAGTCTGAGCCATTTCTTGCCTGCGGCTGAAGGTAGTGTTTCTAAGTCGTCCCTTCTGCACATGCTGGTTGCCATTCTTAAGAAGAGTCTTTTCTCCTTTCTCTTCCTGTCCTTTTTTAAATTGGAAGACTGTTTCTTCTGTGTCCAGGACTTTGTGGATTCATCTTTACCTGGGATGTTGCTGCCCACCTTGTCCTGCACATGCCCCTCCCCACCTCCTCCACATGCCTTGGCCCAGGGCAGGCCTGCCTGCAGGCAGGCTCCGTTGGTGATGTGGAGCACATCCTTTCCTTTGGCTCCTCCTGCACATCCTCTCCCTGGTCCTGGAGTCAGGCTAGATCAGGCAGGTGCCCTGCTGCGGGGCCTGTTCACTGCCGGCCTCCACCTTCCTGGCAGGAGTGTTCCCTCAGTGCCTTCTTGCTGGGGAGCACCCAGCAAGCCAGCTCTGGCCAGGTGCTGGTTGCATGCATATTTTCCTTACGTTATTTTTCCCTGCATACACGTGATTTTCCCTTGCGCTCTTGTGGTTGTGCTGTTTCACGATGAGTTTCTAGTTGTGTTTTTGAGTGGTGGGGTTGTTCCAGGGCAGCGCTATGCCCATGCTTGACCTCCCATACCTGTGGCAGGAGGTGCTGTGCCTGCTCCTTGCAGAGGCTCCCTCCTCTGCTTGTCTCTCCTTCCAGGAAGGGTGTGCAGGGCCAGCCCTCCCTGTGCAGGGGCTGCCGCGCTTCCTGCAGACCCTGACGGGCACTGTAATGGATTCCCTGCCGGAGCCGAGATCACCAACCGGCCACCACTGTGGAGGCCCCTGGTACTCCTCATCCCCCTGCGCCTGGGTCTCACGGACATCAATGAGGCTTACGTTGAGACACTGAAGGTGGGTCTTGGGAGAGTACTCACCCCAGCCCTTCCACTTCCAGCCCTCTATGCTCTGAGCCAGCTCCAGGGGACAGTCTACAGCCAGGTCACCAGAGGGTGGCTCTGATGGTGGCATTCATCAGTCAGGTGAGGCAGGAAAGGCCTGCACATTTCAGCACTGATGGAGAATCTGCCTGTCAGGGCGTCACGAGGGCCCTCAGGACCACGTGTCCTCGCCTGGCGCTCCAGGCTCTCTCCCCCTCCAGTGCCTCGCTATGTTCTGGGTGTCCTCTCTGCTCTCTTAGCGCCTCCTGAGTAGCACTGTGAGGAAGGGTGATCCTGACAGGCTATGGGTGACAGTGACTGCTAAGGTCCCTGTGGAACTCTGTCATAAGAGCAAGGAAAGCCCATCTGTGTTCAGCTCGCTCAGACTTCAGACCAGCCATCGTCCTTCTGACCTCTCCCTCTGGAATGGAAACACTGCCGTGTATTGATAGCCTGGGGCCACGGCACACACCTGTACTGAGTGACTTGGGAGGTGGAGGCCAGTCTCAGAAACCTAGCAAGGCCCTGACCAAAATTAAAAATTCAAAGGGCTGTTAAAACAGGGCGTGGTGGTGCCCACCTGCAATCCCAGCAGCTCAGGGGGCTGAGGCAGGAGGATCACAAGTTCAGAGCCAGCCTCAGCAACTTAGTGAGGCCCCAAGCAAAACAAAATGGGCTGGGGTGTGGCTCAGTAGTGGAGTGCCCCTGGGTTCACTGGCCTGCCCCTAATACAGAAGAAAAGAGCCCTTCACTGCCTCGATCTCACCCCTTTCTCCAGCCCTCTGCCTGCCTTGTGGTATCTGGCTTCCTCCTGCCCTCACCCTGTGTCTCCCTCTTTGCTCTTCTTCTTGGCGGTCCCAGCACATCTGGCTGGTCTCCCGGCTCCAGTTCTTCCACTCCAGCCCATCAGACCCCCTGCCCGGCCTCCACTGCCCCTGCTCTGAGCCCCCTGCCGTGGCTAAGGCTTTCCCACAGCCCTGTGTGGTGTCCTTCCTATGCTGGAAGCCCCCCGGGGACCTCAGGGGTACAGGGCCACATGCTCATCAGCCCCCTCTCTCTGCAGCACTGCTTCATGATGCCCCAGTCCCTGGGCGTCATTGGCGGAAAGCCCAACAGCGCCCACTACTTCATCGGCTGTGTTGGTGAGTCGGCCTGCCTGCCTGCCTGCCTGCCTGCCTGCGGGGGACTCTGCTGTCCAGGGGGCAGTGCCCACAGCTGTTGGAGTCCAGTTCAGCAGCCTGGGCCTGGGGGTCTGAAGGTGGCCTGACCTGCCCTCTGTCCCCTGCTGACCTTCATTCTCACCCAGGGGAGGAGCTCATCTACCTGGACCCCCACACAACGCAGCCTGCTGTGGAGCTGACTGACAGCTGCTTCATCCCTGACGACAGCTTCCATTGCCAGCACCCTCCTTGCAGAATGGGCATCGGGGAGCTGGACCCATCCATCGCTGTGGTGCGTCCTGACTGCAGGCTCCTGGGCAGTTGTTTGGAAGACCAAACCCTGTTTTAGAGTGAAAGGGACACCTTCAGATTTGTGGGGTTTCTTCAGCATTTTGGAGTGCTGTGTCCACATGGTGCAGAGTCCAGGGCAGGAGAGTGAGCTGTCTTTGAGCCCCTCCCTGCCCTCGAGAGGGGGCCTGGCCTGGCATGGGTGTGCTGTGCTGTGCAGAGGGTGGGGGTGGCACACAGGTAACCTGCAGACGCCTGCCTGCACGCGTCCTCCGTGTTCCTGGTTTCTTTGTGTGGGGGGGAGGTGGTTCTCTAGGAATGGGCTCCTTAGGGTTCTCAAGGTGTGGTCCATGCAAACCTGCCTGTTCTCCACACGTACTTGATGGGAAAGAAGGCCAGATGAAAGGCTCTGATACCAACGCCCTGCTTAGGACAGCGTCACCTGAGCTGTGTCCCAGTGTTCTGTTGACAGATGGGGCAGGTCTCTTGACTGGCCACAGGTGCCTCCTGGGGAGGGTGGTGGGCAGAGGTGGGGCTGGGGCGGTGGGGCTGACTCCCTGCCAGCCTGGCTACCCTCCAGGGCCTGTCCTGTGGTGAGTGTCTCTAGTGCACAGTGGCTGACTCTGGGGCACTACGGGCAAACTTGACTGCGGAAGGGCGATGTGTGCAGGCCAGCCAGTGCCAGAGTGCGAGGGCTGCACCCCGGCCAGAGGTCATGCTGTGGAACATCTCCCCGTCCTCACTGTGGAGAGCAGCAGGTGCTGGGTTGCTGGGCCAAGCTCCGGTCAGAGGTCACACTGTGGGACAGCTCCCTGGTGTCACGGTGGGGAGCAGCGCACACCACTGCTCTCAGAGATGAGCCTTCCACGGTTTCGTGTCTCACAGCCCAGCTCACGGCTCAGGGCTCACTGCTTACGCTGTTCTTGTTCCAGGGATTTTTCTGCAAGTCTGAGGACGACTTCAATGATTGGTGCCAGAGGGTCAGAAAGGTGTGTGGCCACATGGGCGCTCTGCTCTGCCTCCGGGTGCAGGTGGGAGGTGCCCAACAGGGCTGGTAGTCTGGTTGTCACGGGAGTAGAGATTGCTGTCATCTCCATGCTGGGGGCTTCTGGGGCACACACTCCTCTCTGTGGACCAGGGCACTGCTGAGCTGTGCCCTGCAGGGTGCCCGCCCCTCCTCTCTGCCTCTGGGGGCAGATGCTGAGCTGTGCTCTGCGTGGCCTTGGGAGTCACCTCCCCTCATCAGCGAGGTGGGGTGAGAGCAGTGTCCACCATGGCCGTGCCAAGTGGCCCTTCTCTTAGCAGCAGTGGCCTCTGTGGGGCAGGGCTGTGGTGACTGGGCTGCCCTCACTGTTTCCCTGCAGCTGTCCCTGCTTGGGGGCGCCTTGCCCATGTTTGAGCTGGTGGAGCAGCAGCCCTCCCACCTGGCCTGCCCCGATGTCCTGAACCTGTCCCTGGGTGAGTGCCAAGGCTGCAGGGCCACTGCTGGGCGGTCCACCCCATCTCGTCTGTGCCTACCTTGCTGCCCCTGGATCAAGGCCACTCTGCTGGAGGAAACTGCCCACGTCCTCCAGACCGTGGCCACAGAGGGTCGGGGCCAGCTTGGGACAGCAGGCTAGTGGCAGGGTGCTCCTTCTCCCTGTGCCCTAGCTGGGCTCAGGCGGCTGCCCCCTTCCTTGCCCATCCCCCATCCCTCCCATCCTGCTCAGACCTTGCAGTTCAGAAGAGGCTGGCACCTGGTTGTGAGGCCTCAGGGTAGGACAGGGCTGTCCCCTCTTCCAGTGTCTCACCCTACAGTCCCAGTGGCCACAGGCATCTGAGGAGGTTTTGCCTTGTTCCTTCTAGATTCTTCTGACGTAGAGCGACTGGAAAGATTCTTTGACTCAGAAGATGAAGACTTTGAAATCTTGTCCCTCTGAACACCCTGGGCTGGGGGCCCAGCCTCCTTGGCCCCTGCTGCAGGCGCATTTGAGAACCCAGCTCGGCCTCATCGCGGGGCCTCTGCATTCCATCCCTCCAGCCTCCCCTGCCAAGAGCTGCGCCCTGCCGCCTCTGCCCAGAGGGCTCAAGGACTGCGCTGCCCTGCAGGCCTTACCACGGGAATCATCCAGCCAGCCCCAAGCACACCAGGGCCTCCACATGGGCTTCCTGTGCAGGGATCAGGAGCCTCCCGAGGTCTCCAGGTGGCGCTGCCAGCCAGCCTCAGTGCACTGGCTCTGGCCCTGCTTCCTCCTGGGCACTCGGGCCTGTGGTTGGTTTGGAATTAAAGCCCTGTTTGAAGCTGTTTGACACAGACATGAATTTCTGGGGCACTTCCCAGGTCAGAGTCTCAGGACCACCAGGTTGGCATATGCAGAGCACTGGCCGCAGTGGCCTCACACTGCTCGTGCTGGGCAGGGTGAGCTGTGGGACCACATCCCCTCTGTCCAGCATGGCTGATCAAGGGCTACCTCGGTGGGAAATCAGGTGAAGGAACGGCGGCAAGGCTTCTCCCTGTTTGGGGGAGAAAAGTGTTCAAGGAACAGGTCACTGAGAGAGCCAGGGATGCCGGTGGATGCTGAGCCTCGGGCAGCTGGTGTGTCCTGGGCGTCTCTCGGAGCAGGGCCCAGCCGTGCCTCCCTCCGGTGGTGGTGATCTGCCTGCTGCTTGCTTGTCACCCTACTGCCTGGATGGGGAGGAAACCGGTGCAGAGCTGCCCTCGGCCTGGGACGCCCACCCCTCCTAGGTCACTGAGGTTCTGCCTGGTTTGGGCTGGAAGGGTGAAGGCACTGGCTGTGGTGGTGTGTGGACCATGGGGTAAGCAGAGCAGCAGGCTCCTCAGCACTCCTCCAGCGCCTCCCCTCACCCTGGCTCCCGGCCCTCAGCTGGGACACTGGTCCCGACTTCTCCAGACCTGATGCATCTGATGCCAGAGACGGGAAGCCTGGGGCTAGCCCCTGAAGGAGCCATTCCTAAGTCCTGGAGCTGGCCTGGTGGGCAGGACTGTCCCAGTTGTGGCTACTCTAGGCAGCTCCCAGCAGCCCACCCAGGCAGTGGGGGATACCTCGGCCCCCCAGGTATGATGACATAATTTATTTCCTCTTACTGGCCCTTCTCTTTTCCACCCTCCCTATTCTCCTTCAGAGACAGCTGGGGCCAGGGCAGGAGGGAAGGCTGGGACCACTTCCGTCCCTCTGGGGCTCCGTGCTGTGGTGCCCCAGGAAGGTCTCTGCAGCTCCTGCTACTTGTGGGTTCCCAGGGTGGGTGGGCAGAAGGCCCCCTTCAGGGGGATCATCACTGAAGAGAAGCATCCTTAGTAGCATAGTTTGCAATTCTTAATGGCAAATAATAAGTTTCAGTAGAAAACAAAGTTTGTGTGTCTGTTGATTTCTCCTCCAGTTGTAGCTCAGGTCACAGGTTGTAGACTTCCCCAGGCTGGGCCAGTGGAGCCTGCCTTGCTTCCCGCCTGGCCCAGCGAGGAGCCTGAGATGTCTGTCCTCGTGCTGGGTGACATGTGATCTTAAAGATTAGGAGGGGAAGTTGTAAAAGCACCCGGGGTATAGGGTGGCTTCAGGCTCCCATCAGTGTCCTGAGTGACAGCCACCCACCCTCCATGTTAGTGCCCAGCACCCAGACAGGAAGGGAGCTGCTGCTGGCCCTGGTGCTATGACCTGAGGACAGTCACACCACTCAGGACACACACAGAGGCTTCTGTGGCCAGGCCTGCACACCCAGCCCTGGAGCAGCTCTTTGGGGCCTAGAGGGCAGAAGTCCTTCATGCTGTGCAGACAGACCTCTCTGGAGACTCCAGGGGACAATGTGTTTCCAGAGGCACCAGCATCCTCAGCTGTGTGCTGCCCCCCACCGACCCCGCAGTAAATATGCTGCAGTGGTCCTAGACAGCTGCTCACATAAGGTCCTCCACCTAATCCCACTTGCATAGCCCTCAGTATCCTGTTTAACTGGGGGGGGGCTCTGTGGTAGGGACACAGAAAACCCAGAAATTTTTCGGTGGAGGGCAGATTCTACCAGGAAGTTTCCACAAACCATTCTCCTCTGGAATTGTTTAAAAAGGGATTGAACGAGCCAAGCATGGTGGAGCACACCTATAACCCCAGCTTCTCTGGAGGCTGGGGCAGGAGGATAGCAAGTCTGAGGCCAGCCTTGGCAATTTAGCAAGGCCCTGACAAAAAGGGGGTAGGGATGTAGTTCTGTGGTAAAATATCCCTGAACACCCCCCTTCCCCAAATAGGGTAAAAGGAGGCCTGAGAACGAAAAGCTCTAAGGCTCTAAGAACAGCAGCAAGGGGCAACATCAATGTGTATGGGGTGCAGGGCCTATGCCACTTGGATGATGGTGCCCAGTGGGCTAGGATGCGGGGATTCCCTCTAGCAGCAGGGCCCTTCTCCATTCAGACGGGTCCCACTCAGCCAGCCACAGTGGGCATCTGAGAACAGAAGAGCCCTGTGGACACATTTGTAGGGTAGTTTTTATTGGAGCTTATAAGGAATTCAGAAAAACTGCAACCACTTATCATTTTCAATGATCTCAATGATAACTGCTCAGAGTTATTAAAGTTTAATACAAAGGGTGCAGTGGGGCACTCCTATAATCTCAGCTACCTGGGAGGCTGAGGCAGGAGGATAGTGAGTTCAAAGCCAGCCTCAACAGCTAAGCAAGGCCCTAAGCAACTTAATAACACCCTGTCTCAAAATACAAAGTAAAACTGGGCATGGTGGTACATACCTGTGATCCCAGCAGCTCAGAACAGGTAGGAGGATTATAAGTTCAAAGCCAGCCCCAGCAACCTAGTGAGGCCCTAAGCAACTCAGTGAGACCATGTCTCTAAATCAAAATGGCTGGGGATGTGGGAAGGACTCGGTGGTTAAGTGCCCCTGGGTTCAATACCCACCACCACCACCAAAAATTAAAAAGGACTAGAGATGTAACTCATTGGTAAAGCACCCCTGGGTCCCATCCCTGGCAACAAAAAAAGTGTCCTAAGAAGCCAACTGTGATGGAGCCCACCTGTAATTTCAGCTACTCAGGACTGAGGCCAACCTCAACAACTAAGCAAGGCCCTGAGTAACTTAGAACATTTCAAAAAGGACCGAGAATGTAACAGTGGTAAAGTGACTCCATGTCTAACCCCTGGTAACAGAAAGTTTAATATGAAGCCAGCAGTGACGGAGCACAGCTGTAACTCCAGCTACTCAGGAGGCTATGGCAGGAGGATTACAAGTGTGAGGCCAGCCTCAGCAACTAAATGAGGTCCTAAGTAGCTTAGACTGTCTCAAAAAAAAAAAAAAAAAAAGGATGGGATGTAACAGTGGTAAAGTGCTCCTGGGTTTAATCCCTGGTAATAAAAACAAAGTTTAATAAGAAGCTGGCTGTGGTGGAGCACACCTATAACCTCAGCTACTTGGGAGGCTGAGGCAGCAGGATTGCAAGTGCGAGGCCAGCCTCAGCAACTTAGACCTTCTCAAAATAAAAAAGGACTGGGGATGTAACAAGTTGGAAGTTAGTCTAGGACAATGTAGCTCAAGAAAGGCTGGGGTGTAGCTCTGTTGGGAGAGCTCCCCTGAGCTCCAAGCCCTGTGCCACACACGCAACATACCCACACTCAGGACATGGGAGTGGGCAGAGGAGGACCTTCTGCCACCCGACTTGGTACCCACACCTCCAAGGTCCATGGTGATGGGATCCCTGGCATACCCCAGCCCTAAATTCCCAATGAGCTGAGGCGCACCAGGAGCAGGAACCCCAGGACCCCAAGGCGGGCCCGGTCACTTCCACAGCGCCCCCAGTGGCCTTTGCGCAGCATTGCGGATGGCGTCCTCAGAGAGCACGCGGATCTCCTCGTGCACAGCCTCGATGCTCCTGGAAGCGTCGACTACCTGTTCCACAGGATGCAGGAGAGAAGACCATCACCACCTTACTCTGCTCCAGGTGCACGTGGTGACTGGTGGGCCAGAAGCTGGAAGGGCCAGATTAAATCCCCAGCACAGGGTGGGGACCCCTGGGACCCTTCACCCCACCTCCCTCTGAACCCTAGCCTCACTGGCATCCACTCTGCTCTTAGGCAGGCCTGTGCTGTCCACATGAAGTGGGCATGGACGCAGGGGTGCCCACTGGAGCCTATATCAGTGGGCAAGCTCAGAGCAGAGCCTGAGGGCGCCTCCTGCAGTTCCTAAGCTAGGACACGGAGGCGGTCTCGATCGAGGGCAGCTGCTCAGGCCCAAGGACGCCGCTCAGAACATGGGTGTTCTGAAGAAAAGGTGCATCTGCTTCCTGCACTATCCCAGCACAGCCAAGGGGCACCTGCACAGGACGGCAGGAGGAGCATCAGGACCAAGGGCCAGCCCAGAGAAACAGAGACAGACAGAAGTGCCAGAATCTCCCATCAGTCTGCTCTTCTGCTGAGGGGCTGGTGGGGGCCTCACATCTGTAGGGCTGACAGAGACCCTGGGCAGCAAATTCTTGAAAATACCAAAAGTGTACACGGCTCACAGAACCTAAGGCTTTCATGAACATGGTTGTGCAGGATGGAGGATAGTTTAGTTTCTCAGGTGGCACCTCCCAGCCCCTCTAGGATGAGGTTAGAGGAACCGGCATCTATTCTAGAAAGCAAGACAGACTACAGAACTCAGGATGCTCTGCTCAACAAGACCCAGAGGTGAGACGCACTCGCGAGCACAGACAAAGCCAGGCCAGCAGCACTGTCTACAAGCGAAGCCGGCTGAGCACCTCACCCTCACAGCTGCTAGGCTGAGCCCTAGGCCTGCTCTGGAGGAGCTGGCCGCACAGGTGGTGCTGACCTACAGACTTCGCTGGCTGCCTGCCAAAGACACTCAGTGACAAGTGTCCAGGAGAAGTGGAACTGGGGTCAGGGTGGGAGTACACAGTGGAGCAGGGGCTGCTGGGAGGGCAGAGGCACATCCTGGCAGGGCAGGGAAGGTGGGCTGACTCCTGGGATGGTGGGTGCAGCAGGTGTGAGGGCTGGAGGAGCAGGACTGGGGAGAAGCCAGGGCACGACACCGTCCCGAGCACGGGGAGGTGGCTGAGCAGAGCCCCAGAGGCCCTGCGGAGGGGACAGTGTGAGGCCCTGGATCACATCTTTGCAGGAAGGCCAGTGTGACCACGGGTCAGCCAACGCATTCCATGAGCACAAGGAGTGAGACAGGCTGAGTACTGGGACTGCTGCGCCCCACCTTGACCATGATTCCTGAGTGCAGAGACAATAAACCCAGGTGCTGCCCCTGGGATGGTGTGAAGAACGTGCAGGATGCACACCCTGTGGAGCAGGCTGGGCACACGCCCACGGGGGCCTGCAGAGCCGCAGGCCACTGCCTCCCGGGACGGACGACTCCTCAGACTCAACTGGCCCACCAGATGAGGCGCCAGGCCTCTACCCCACAACTCATGGGGATCAGGGATGAACATGAAGCTCAGTGGCAGAGCTGCCTGGCAAGCTTGAAACCCTGGGTTCACTCCTGAGCAAACCACTAAACAAAACATCCTGCTGACACCCAGCAGCCTGCACAGCTGCGGGTTTCCATGGGTGGGAAACAGACGGAAACTACAGCAGCCATGCCCTCTGCAATGCTAGACACACCTTCCAGTTCAGAGTCGAGTCTCCCATGAGCTGCTGGAAGCTCTGCAGTGCCCGTTCCTGGAAAGCTCTGTCCTCGTAGCGCTCACGACCAAACTCTCCCCGTGTGGCAGCATCCGCCAGCCCCAGCTGAAGGAACAGGATCAGATCAGGCTGGGGAAGGCCGACGTCCGGCTGTTTGCACCAATCCAGGGAGAAGTTCTGCCAACAAAGAACCCATCCATCAGAAAAAGAATGTTTTGCTTCAAAAGTCATTAAAAGGGGGGAAAATGAGCCGGGCATGGTGGTACACACGCCTTAATCTCAGCAGCTCTGGAGCCTGAGGAAGGAGGATCACAAGTTCAAAGCTAGCCTCAGCAACTCAGTGAGGCCCTGTCTCAAAATAAAAAGGGCTAAAAGGGCTGGGGATGTGGCTCAGTAGTAAAGCATCCCTGGGTTTAATCTCTGTTACAAAAACAAACAAACAAACAAACAAACAAACAAAAAACCCAAGAGCTACCATTTAGTAAGATACCAAAAGATAAGAATTCTTTCTTTCTTTCTTTCTTTTTTTGGTGGTACTATGGATGGAACACAGGAGGCACTCTATCACTAAGCCATACTCCTGCCTCCAAAATAAAAACCCTGAAACTGCTAATGCAAGGAAGGGATTTGGGAACGTAGACATCAAAAAAAATGTAAGTGGTCCCTCCCATGTGGACCCGCATTGGGGTTGGATCCAATATAACTAAAAACTCAAACTGATGAGATGCCTGAGGACACTGGGACAGCTGCTAACGGTTTTTTTTTTTTTTTTTCAGATGAGATTCTCTTCCTTAAAAGTCGTTTTTTAGATGTAGACTGAAACACAAAGGAACTAACAGTGTCTGATGTGGCAGACAGCAAAGGTCCCTGAGACCAGGGTGGCGGTATTGGTGGCACTAAAACTCCTCAATGACAAGCAGGAAAAGGGAGCAGCAGTCCCACAGTCACAGATGCGTGGCAACAGCCTGACCATAAGCTCAGGAGACATCTGCAAGCTGCTGGGAAAGCAAGGCACCGGATGAAAACACACTGGACCACCCTGAGAATACCACAAAACGGACCACCAAGTAAAACACGTGGCTCCGCCTTGAAAACAAGCTGCAGCAACACAAGTGTGTTCTTCCTGTCAACAACAACCAAATCACTCACCGTAGCAGGCAGAATCACAGACTCCAACGAGTGCTTTCAGGTGTGCTAGCATATGGTGCCTTGAGCAGGGCAGCTCCCGTCCACCCGCCTGGCATCCGGAGGCCAAGCAGCACTCACCTTCTTTGCACTTGTGAAGGCAACGCCAGAAAACGCATATCTGTCCACAACGAGGGTGACACCCTGGTCCAGCTTCTCCCTCATGGATGGCCTAAAACACAGAGGGCGCTCCTGAGCCCTGCTGGCCCCCAGGCCTGAGCGGTCATGTTCAAATCACCCTGCTTATGCAGCTCAGAAAACCCACAGGTACTGGCCGCAGCACAGCACAGACACAGAGAGACGGAGAGCTGGTGCCCCAAGGGCACTCCCAGCAAAACCTGCACACAGCAACGAATGCTGACACAGGCAGCAAGGGGCAGGCACACTCACCGTCTGCCAAAGAGAATCTGGGCACAGGGAGCAAAGAAAGGCTGAGCAGTTGAATGCTGCCAGCAGGGACCCATCCACACTCCTGCCCACAGGCTGGGACTACAAGGACAGGGTGTTCTCAACCAGACAGACACAGGTCCACCATCATGCCCAAGGCTCAAGATCTCAGAAGGACATGGAGTCAAGAGGCCTGGCATCAGTAAGAAGCCCAGCTGAAGCCAGGAGACTAGTGAGGTGCACACAGACCTGTGCCCAGAGCCCAACTCTCCCCCGTGTGCAGGGTCTGTGGCAGCCAGAGAGCAAGTTGCACAACCACATTAGTGTTTAAAAAGCACACTGCACGTGTATGTTGTTTACACATACATGGAAGTGGAAACGTCTCAAAGAGTGTGCCCCAATAAATTCACACTGAACTAATCTGCCACAGAGGTAGGAGGAACGTGAGGACCACACCCTCGAGGGAGTCTGTGCCTGCCTACAGTGATGAGGTGCACTCAGGGAGGTGGCATATGGTTCACGTGAACACAAACTGTGAACACTGGTTGACACACACCAACACTGCCACCAACCCTCATGGATGAAACACTGTAACACGACAGATACATCACAGGGGAAACTGGGGAGGGGGTATGCAGGAACTCTACTATTTGATCAGTTTTTCTGTGTATCTAACACTATCTTTTAAAAAATTAAAAACTAGGGCTGGGGCTGTAGCTCAGTGGCAGAGCGCTTGCCTAGCACGTGTGAGGGGCTGGGTTCGATCTTCAGCACCACATAAAAAAATAAACGAATAAAATATAGGCATGCTGCCCATCTACACCTACAAGAAAATTTCTTAAAAATCAAATCTATGGGGGGTCTGTTAGGAGAAGGCAAGGCAGGGATGTCCTTGGGGAACTGTGCCACCTCTGCCCACAGGACAGAGGTTTATTAGCACCACTTCTTTGTCAGTTTGTGCTTTATGGTGGTGCTTCATGTGTGAGGGAAGACCCTCACACATGAAGATGACACCCAGGCAGGGTGTGCAGGGCCATTCTGGGCGAGAGACGTGTGCTCTGAGGAGCACAGCCAGGCGGCCGCAGTGCGCACCACTCACACGTGCTCCCAGCGATTTGCAGAGAAGAGCAGGTGCACCGAGTGGTCCTCCAGTTCACTTTTCTTTTCCAAGTAGGAACTCAGAAGTTTGCCAATTTCGGTTGATCTTTCTAGGATAAAAAGAAAAAAAACACAAATATTTGTGAGGTTAGTCCATTTAATTTAGAATACAGTTTATGTTAAATTTCTCATCCTGGACTCAAGTCTAATTACTCAGTTTTACTTTACTAAATCTCTGGACAGGTTCAGATTGTCCCAGGAAGCCAAGGAGTTTTCCTGAGAAAAACAGTAATATGCAGAGGCCTTGAAGAAAGTAATTCAGGAAGAAGAAAGGTTGTGACATCACAGAAATGAGGTCTGAGGACTAGCTGGCTTGAAGACTGGAACCTGTTAAATATTCAAGAAATCCCCCCCCCCACCCGTTTCCTAACCCTGTTTTATATGCTATCTCTTGATGGAATAGTGGTGGTTATATTTCCATAAACCTTTTCACAGTCAATGCTTTCCTTTACTAACAATATTGGGCTGGGGGTGTTGCTCAGTGGTAGAGGGTGCTTAACATGCAGCGTCTTGGGTTCCATCCCGCATACCTAAAAAATTAAAAACAAAGACGAAACCCAAAAGTGACAGTGAAGAGCAGATTGTGCCTAGCCCTGAGTCACTCCACCTTGTAAAGGAGCTGTTTGCCACAAGCTGCTCTATCATGAGCACTGGTGCCAGAGTAGGTGACTCCACACCTTGTTAGCACAAGTGAAGAGCCACCGTCTGCCCAGCACCACCATAAAGCACAAACTGACAAAGAAGTTGTGCTAATAAAAACGACCACCTGTGAACTTACTGATCAGAAGCACTTGGACGCATGGGTTGGGTTTATCCACCCCATAAAAACAAAAACAAGCCCTTGAAACCATCTAAAATACAAAGTGATCCTCTCACATGAAATGCACAAGAGGAGGAGCACCCCAAGACTGGTTGCCGCACACAACCAACCAGACCTCAGATCATCTCAACAGAGGGCAACAGGTAATGAACCTGCGATTTCTGTCCACCTCCCTACTCCAACTGGACCCTGGCTTAGTGTTAGTTCTGGGCCTTCCAGCTCCGCACCCTGAACAAGTTCTTGTTCCTGAGCTTATCTGACCACATACAGTGACTCTTTGCTTTGGTATCTGCTCTCTGACTTTGGTCGGCTCAGCCTCCTGAACCCCCTGTGGTCACCTTAATCTTGAATTTAGCTTTCTGTACTTTACTTATATATTTTTATATAAATTGTGAGTTGCGAGTTGAGTGTTGTAGCGTTAGGAATTAAGGTTGGAATAAAGAACTTGTGATTGCCTGTCCTATGACCACCGTGCGACCCGAGGACCCAGTGCATAGCAGCTGATGAAAATGGTGCAGCCTCTGAATTTACTGTCGTTCAATAAGTCCTGACACTGTGGAAAGACACCAGCGTGTTCGGTCTACGCTAACAATGGGGTGGCTCCTGCAAGACAGTGAGGCTGGGATGCAGCAGCCACCGGCTCGCAGCGGGAAGGGGACGCGCGGCAGCTCCCCACCCCCCCACCCACCCCACCCCGCGCAGCAGCTCCGCGCAGTCGCCCACCCGCCTCGCCGGCCCGCGCGCACCGGGGAAGCGCAGCAGCTCAGCGCGGTAGCCCGCGGCGCACAGCGCAGCCACCAGCTTGCGGCCCTGCGTGCTCTTGCCCGCGCGGTCCACACCCTCCAGCACAATCAGCGCCCCACGACGTCCCGCCATGTCGTCCAGCGCGCGCTCTGCGGAGCTCCCGCCAACCCCCGCGCCCGCATCCGCGGCGCACGCCACGATTGGCTGGGGCCGGGGAGGGGCGGGCTGGCGCGTGCGCCTCGGGCTGCACCGCCTCTTCCGGGCCTCGGTCGGCGCGGGGAGGACGCAGGCGCCGGCCGGGGCGGCTGGGCCTGCGCGTGCCCGGCGCCTCCGGGCTGGCTGGGTGGCGGCAGTGCGTCTGCGCGCGCGGCCGCGCGTGGGGCTGGAAGTCCTGCCGTTCCGACCCGCAGGATCCCGGCTGGCCTCCTGGCAGTTCCAGAAACCCGGCGGGTTAATAAAGCTCCCCTACTCCCCCAGAGCACGGGCCTGCGGTGCCTTGGGAAAGAGCGGCTGGGGTTGGCTCCCTGACCTCCGGGCGCACCGGCCGAGCGGCGAGGGCTGCCGCCTGCCCGGGTATCGGGCGGCGCCGACTCTCAGTGGAGCTCCTGGCTTGTTTCGGAGGTCCCAGACACTGGCGTCCTGCGCCCCGTGGTCAGCAGCACCTCGGGCTCCTGGCTGCCCGGCCTCGGCTAGACATCGTTTGGTGATGGTTAGGGACATTTTGTCCCTTCCGGCTGCCCGCGGTCTTCAGGACCTCAGGTTTCTGGCCGCCCGACCAGAGAGACCCCGGGAGCCCGGTGTCCGTCCTTCCCGGACCTCTGGAGCCCATCTGCCGGCGGTCGGCAGGACATCACTCTGCAAACGGCCGAGTAGGGGCCGCGAAGTCGCAGAAGCTTCTCCGTAGCTTGGGCTAGATCTTGGCAACTCCTACAAAACTTTGAGGGCATTTTTCTTGGGAGGCAGTCAGAAATGTGAGAAGCTTGAGGCTGTTCTCTAGTGAGCTCTTTCCTTTTTTTCCCACTTAAAAAAAAATTTTGTTCTGATTAGTTCTACCTGACAGTAGAGTGCACTTTGCATCATACATATATGGAGTGTAACTTCTGGCTGTACAAGATGCAGAATCACACTGGTCGCGTAGTTGCATGTGCACATAGGGTAATAATGTCCACTCCATTCTACTATCCTTCCTACCCAGTGTCCCTCCCCTCCCTTCACTCCTAATCCAAAGTAACTCTCTTCTTCCCTAGCCCCCCACCCCTTATTGTGAATTAGCATCCGCATATCAGAGAAAACACTGGGCCTTTGGTTTTGGGGGATTGGTTTATTTTGCTTAGCATAATAGTCTAGCTTCATCCATTTACCTGCAAGTGCCATAATTTCATTCTCCTTAAAGGCTGAGTAATATTCCATTGTGTATATGTACCACATTTTCTTTATCCATTCATCTGTTGAAGGACACCTAACTTGGTTCCATAGTTTAGCTATTGTGAGTTGAGCTGCTATAAACATTGATGTGGCTGGGTCACTGTAGTATTTTATACCCAAAGGACTTAAAATGCTGATTTTAAGTCCTTTGGGTATAAAATAAGGAGTGGGGTAGCTGAGTCAAACGGTGGTTTCATTCCAAGCTTTCTGAGAAATCTCCATACTGATTTCCAGAGTGGTGGTACCAATTTGCAGATCCACCAGCTATGTATGAGTGTACCTTTTCCCCACATCCTCACCAACATTTATGGTTAATTATATTCTTGATAATTGCCATTCTGACTGGAGTGAGATGGAATCTTAGAGTAGTTTTGATTGGTATTTTTCTAAGTGCTAAGAATGTTGAGCATTTTTTCTTTCACATCTTCTTTCCTTTTATTGAAAAAAAATTTTAGAAAATGGGATTGGCCTTAATAAAGGGCGCAAACAAATCAACAGGGATATACTATGGAAAACAGACAATATAAAATCAAAAATGTCACTGGCTTCTTCAATTAGTTAAGAACACAAAATGTTTAACAGGCAGGTCTGTTTTAGACAAATTTAAAAGCTATATTTTGTGGGCTTTTTTGTAGTTTCCCCAAGTCAGATATATACACACCCACAAAAATGGTGTTTGAGGAAAGCTGTCATACACAAGAAGTTGTATCCTGAATTCTTCAGGAAACAGTTGTTGAAACAGGAATTAACACGAAGTCAGCAACAGGTTAACAATTTTTTAAAATTGAGTCTTCAAATGCTGCATGGCACGAAGCTAAACTATAGAAAATAATACTAGGTACAAAAAAAAAAAAAGTTTTGTACAGCTTTTAGCAAGAATGCTTTTCCAAAGCAAGTCAAAACAACACAATCAGCAGACCAAGGAAGCTACAGCTAGAAATAAGAGCTACAACTTCTCGTATCCGTGCTAGAAAATCCTACTTTTCCAGAAGAGACTAAAGTTTCAGGACAAAAAAGGGACATTTTAAACATTTCTTTCTTTACCTATTTTAAGTTCTGTTTCTTCCCCCACCCATCCAGTAATTCAGCATGATCCAGCAGAAAGAGGGCTGCTTTTAGAATTGGCTATATTATTTTTCTTTCTGTGGCAAGACTGGATATTTCAGGCTCCTATTCATCCAAGACCAGTGTCCCGCTGTGGCTGTGGTCAAAAGACTTGGTGAATTCGGCTTCCTGCTGCTGCTTTGTTCTCCCACTGATGAAGGTCAGTTTCTGTGTATATTTGTCATCAAACCTTTTGAGACTGGAGGACAGTTGCCAAATATCATCAGGATCCATCCCAGTAGGATCCTTCCTGTGAGCCACAAGAAAGATGCTCTTCTCCTTATATGAGGTATAAATGGTCAGAATCCCCATCATCACAAAATAGGATATGACACATAGAGCCAAAACTGGCTTGAACTCTGGAAAGGGTGCATATAATCCCAAATCAAAGCCACTATGGCAAAAAAACAGGAGATGGTACAGGTGGTGAGGCAACCGTCAATTAGCCCAAAATTCTCCACATACTTGTACTTTTCCAGAAGTACCTTTTTGGCAGAATCATCCAAAGAGTTTTTCACAGCTGATCCATCCCATTTGTTAATTTTTACAGGCTTATCATCAATTTTCCACTTATCTAACAAGCCCCAATGGCTGCCGCCTGTCCCACAGCTGGGGCCACCACCACTTCTCCCGCCCTGTGCTGCCGCCACCGCCGCCGCCATCTTGTCTCTGAACATTTTTTTTTTTTATATTTGTTGATTGATTTTATTTCTTCTGAGAAGTGTATGTTCAGTTCCTTAGCCCATTTATGGATTAGGTTATTTTATTTTATTTTGGTGTTAAGTTTTTTTTTTTTTTTTTTTTAGTGTTAAGTTTTTGGAGTTCTTTCTTTTTGCCTACCTGGGGTAGAACCCATGGACAGGGGCATGCTGAGTACACACCAGAGCCCCTGCTGAGGGAGAGACTCTGGGGAGCTTTCCAGGTGAATAGTAGGGGCATCCAGGGCACTGGCAAGCCGGGCAGAGGTTTCCAACTTCCTTGCTGCGTTGCTGCCTAGGAACGGCAGAGCGAGCATGCCGCAGCTTCATCTCTTAGGAATAATGTCAACGTGCTCACCACCAGCTGCCTTCCTCCCTGTTATTCTGCTTCTGCAGATGGAGTGGCTGAGGCTGAAGTTTATTTTCTCACAGCTCTGAACATGCAAAGTCTAAGAGCAGGACAGATGCCTGCTGAGAGCTGTCCTGGTCACTGCATTCTCACTGGGCAGAGGGCAGCACCCTCTGGTGTCTCTTCCTCTTATTAGGCACCAGCCCTATAGAGTGGCTCCCATCCTTGTGACCTTTGTTTCCACCTGAAAGTCCTAACTCCACAGTCACAATGGGGCTTAGGGCTTCAACAGAAGGACTTTGGAGGGACATTAATCTACTTCCCAAATAGGACTGTTTCGGGCCTGTCTCTGCCAGCCAAACCCCGCTTCCCAGCCAGCCCTCCTTGCCATTAGGACAGGTGTTTGAGTTCCTGTCCATGGAAAGAGCACATGCAGCTGGTGTACACCTCAGACCTCCGGTGGGCATCCTTCCTGCTCCGTCTCCCAGATACCTTGTCATGCAAAGGTGAGCCCTTTTGTGGGCAGACACTGCCAGAAGGAATTAGGGCCCTGAGTGACCCCATGGAGCAGAGCTGGCCTCCTTCCCTGAGCTATTTACACGAGGATGCTACATAAAGAAGCAGTCTGTCTTTCCTAAGCTTGGGTTTCAGTTGGATTTCTTTGTTAGAATAGCTTGGGCTTCCCCAGTAATACTGGTTCTCAGTTGGTGATTTTACCCCTAAGGGGGCATTTGGTGATGTTTAGGGACACTTTGTCATGACTTGAGGGGTGGGTGCTAAAAAATAAAATAAAAATAAAAACACAAGATGACCCTCACAGCATAGTTATTGAGCCTGTTTGGGGGGGGATACTGGGGATTATTTTTTATTTTGAGACAGAGTCTCACTGAGTTGCTGAGGCTGGCTTTGAACTTGCAATCATCCTGCCTCAGCCTCCCACGTTACTGGGATCACAGGTGTGTGCTTGATGAGTTAGGGAGCCTCAAAGGTCAATTGTGTGAGGGTGGAGACACTGTCTTATAACCATAGTAGAGGCACAGGGGGTCTTCCTTCTGTCAGTCTCTAAATCAGGATTGCAAGAGGGGTTGGCAGTTGTCCTGTGTCAAAGAAGGAAGTAAAGTTGAATCTGGAAGAAGTTATTTTCCATATATGTTATAAAAAGCACCAGGGACCAAACCCAGAGCTTCAGGTCTGCTGAGCTGGCCCTCTACCACTGAGCTACATCCCAATCCTCAATGCCACAGTCTGGCTGGGCACAAAATCACGAGCCACTCAAGCAGGAACAAAGTTTATTTTTTGAAACTGCCGCCAATGTCCGGTACCGCCCGGGCAGCTTTTTTCCACCCACGCCGCCTCCTCCCACAGAGAGAGCTCCTCCCCCGGAACTCCCTCCTCCTGTACTTCCCCAACCAATGGGAACTCTCCAGGAGTCCCATAGCCGGCCTAGGTGAACAGCAGGAGTCCAATATCCATATGAATGCAAATCTTAACATAATCATATCATCTCAATGGCTAGCTGGTGTCACCTTTCAACCAAAAATGCCATGCATCATATACTTGGCTCTTAGCATCTCCCCCCT